TGTAGACCAGGCTGGCCTCGAACTCACAGAGATCCACCTGCCTCTGCCTCTGCCTCCCGAGTGCTGGTATTAAAGGCGTGCGCCACCATGCCCCCCTGAAACCCTATTTCTAAAAGACCCTCCCCCCCAAAAAGTTCTGTTTCATTATGTAGCCCAAGCTGGCCTCTAGTATCAGTCTCCCCAATGCTGGGATGCCAGCTGGTGCTGCCAGGCTTGGTGGTGTTTTCTTTTTTCTTTTGACAGTACTAGGAGTTGAATTTAGAGCCTCCTGAATACTATGCTAGTACTCTACCACTGAGCTATATCCCCAGCCCTCCCCATCCCCCTTTTTTAAACTTTCTGTTTTGAAACAGGCTCTTGAACTTTTGTTTCTGCCTCAGGAGTAGCTGAGATGACAGGCCTGCACTACAGACCAGATCAAGCCTGGATTTAATAAATAAATATTTCTTGTTTCTTTGCCACTGCCTCCACTGCCGCCGCCGCCGCCTCCTCCTCCTCCTCCTCCTCCTCCTCCTCCTCCTCTTCTTCTTCATTTTTTTTCTTCTTAATTTTTTAATTTCTTTTGTTTTTTGAGACAGGACCTCCCTGTAGCCCCAACTGAAATTCACTCTGTAGGCCAGGCTAGCCTAGATCTCGAAGAGCTTCATCTGCCTCTGCCTCCTGAGTGCAGGGATTAAAGGTGTGTGTCCCCAAGCCCAGCCTTGTTTTGTGGGTTTTTTAAAACTTTTTAAAAAAAATTTCTTTATTTTTATTTTATGTGTATGCATGTATTGCTTGCATGTAGGTAAGTGCACCCGTGTCATGCAATGCCCACGGAGGTCAGAAGAGGCTGCCGGATCCCCTTGGACTGGAGTTACTGAAAGTTGTTAGTTGCCATGTGGGTGCTGGGATTTGAACCTGGGTCTTCTGCAAGAACAACCAGTGTTCTTAACCGCTGAGCCATCTCTCCAGCCCCTGTTGTGTTTTTAATACATACTGTTTTTCCTTTTGAGACATGGTTTCACTGTGTAGCCCTGGCTAACCTGGACCGACCTCACTATGTAGACCAGAATGGTTTCATGCCGAGCTACTAATAAAGACTTTCAACAGTAGAAGCAATAACTATACCAACCAGTTTTGTTGAAGCAGCTTTTGTTTTATGATGGGGGTCCTAAGCTAGGCAACATTGTACACACTACTAATTCCAGCATTCAGGAGACTGAGCAGGAGAGGATTGCTACAAGCTTCAGGCCATCCTGGGCTACAGAGTGAGTTCCAGGACACCTGGGCTATGTATAAGACCCTGTTTCACTCCCTGCCCCCAAAGAAACCTGTTTGGCTACTCCCTGAACACAGTACCTAGCTACTATGTAGCAGGAGTGAGGGGGCTTTACGAGTTCAATAAATGTTGGTGAATTCTGCCAATTTATTTCCTCCTCTGAGCTTTCTTTTCCTCTATTTTAATGTTTGCTGGGGTTTTTTTCTTTCTTTTTTTTTGGGGGGGGGGTCTTTTTGAGACAGGGTCTCCCAGCTGGCCTGGAACTCACTATGTAGACCAGGCTGGCCTCTAACTCACAGAGATCTGCCTGCCTCTGTCTCCCAAGCTGGGATTAAAGGCGTGCACCACCACGCACAGCGTTATTTTTTTTAATATTTTTAAATATATTTTATTTATTTTTATTTTATGTGTATGAGTTAACACTCATGCCTACATGTATGATGTAAGTTCACCCTTGTCATACAATGCCCACAGAGGTCAGAAGAGGGTTTCAGATCCCCTGGAACTGGAGTTACAGACTGTTGTTACCCAGCATGTGGGTGCTCAGAATTGAACTTGGGTCCTCTGCAAGAGCAGTCACTGTTCTTAGCTGCTGAGCCATCTCTCCAAACCCTGTTTTTGTGTTGTTTTTTTTCTTTTTTGGTCTTTTGAGACAGGGTCTCCCTGTAGCCTCAACTATCCTGGAACTAACTATGTAGACCAGGCTGGCATCAATCTCACAGAGATCCACCTGCCTCTGCCTCCCAAATGCTGAGATTAAAGGCGTGTGCCGCCATGCCCAGGTCCCTATACCATTTTTTTTTTTAATGGGAGATTTACAGGCTTATTGGAGAGAAGAGGAGGAAGAGGGCAAAAGCCCACATTTCTTCAGCATTTCAATCAATAACCTCATTTTCTTCTAGCAGTTGAAGTGAACTTCTTATGAATAATGCATGATAGCCTGATGAATATGCACATGCCTGTGAGGTCTGGTGAATAATTTATGAGCTATACTGTTCTTCACCTTGTTACTGTATAAAATAAAACTAAAATAAAATTACCCCCCCCCAAAAAAAACCTTTTTAAAAAGGCATATTTACCCTTTGAGCTGCTAGGGGGTCTGTCAGAGTCAGTAATGGCGACCCATCAGTACAGGTTCATGTCACTGCTAATTAAATAGAATAAAACACTGCATTTCAGGAGGATGTAAAAACGGGACATGCGTAGCCATACTCTATCATATGCAAGTTGTCTAAAATTCTGACTCCTTACCTTAAGACATCCTTGTATTGTCCGCAGCACCCAAGGGCCATTCATACATCTGTAGTCCAGTGTCCTCACAGTCTGAAGAGCAAGACAGTCATTGCTTTGTTTTATGAATACTGGCCTCAGAAGCCTTGGGAATGCTTTGGTGTTCTTCTACCCTTCATGGCTGAGAGCTTTTCTCCCGATGACCAACCTGAGCAACTGCTGTGTCATACTTCAACTCATTCTCATCTGCCCTTGCCTCATCCCTTCAGCAAGAACACTGGGTGTCTTAACCTGGTGGCTAGAGGAAGGCCAAGTTACCCATGCAACCGAGGGAAGTGCTTGGGAATATATTCATGGATCCCAGTAGAACTTGGTTGTTCTATGACAAGTTCTGTATGACTTGAAAATGGGTCAATTCTCATGCCAAGGAAGGTGGGACCCCCAGGACTTATCTACCAAGAAGCCAGGAGCTTTCTAGGCATTGTGCCAAAGAGGGCTCTCATTACCCACAAAGTATCTTTCATAAGCTGAGTGCCTGGAGAAGATGAGGAGAAAGAGGACAAAAGACCTTGTCATTAACCTTTTAGGTAAATTATATACATTCTCAAGAAACAGAGGGTCCAATGAGATGGGTTAGTGGGTAAAAGTGCTTGCCACCAGGCCTGATGGCTTGAGTTTGATCCCCAGAAAGCACATGGTGGGAGGGGAAAAAACAACTCCTGTAAGTTGTCCTCTGACCTCCAGATGTGCCCCCTGACACACACACACACACACACACACACACACACACACACACACCACATACACACTAAAATACAGAAAAAGAAGAAACAAAGTGACCTAAAAACTGTAAATTATATTATGAAATTATCAGCTCAATGATGTAATAAAGTAAAAATATTCATTACAACAATGTGCTATTTTGATTTAAGAAAGTTTCTTGGAGGAAATAAATCTTGAGAAGAGTTTTCCAAACAAAGAAATGACCCAGTTAATTAGAATTCAAGGATGAATGGCCGAGAGTACCTGATGTGGGCCCCACCAACCTTTCAAACCTCACTTTGGGCAATTTTCACATCACTTCCTGTGTTCCAACTTGCTCTGCACAGATGATTATTCCTCCACCCTCATTCATAGGTTGAAATTCTAACCCACAATGTGATGGTATTTGGAGACCTTTGAGATCTGATTAGGTCATCAGAGTGTATCTTCATGAATGACATTAGTGCCCTTGGAAAAGAGAATGCAGAAGTTTCCTCATCTTTCCACTGTGTGAAGCTATCTGCCTACGAATCAGGAAATGGGTCTTGATAAGATATCAGATCAGCCAACAACTTGGTCTTAGACTTCCCAGCCTCTAGAAACCGGGAGAAATAAGTTTCTTTGCTCAAAGTGACCCACTTTATAGTACTTAGAACAGACCAAATAGACTAAGACAGCCACAATGATGCACTTTCAGTGTCCTGAACCCCAAGCTCCTTCCTGCCCCATGGCCACTACCTGTACTGCTCCTCCTGCCTTCTCCCTGTCCCATCTTCTAGCTTTACCTAGGACTCCCTCCTTGCTCTTGGCGTCATTATCTTCTATCACCATCCTTTTTTGGGTGGGGTGTGACAAGGTCTCACTATGTAGCCCTGGCTGGCCTGGAACTCGCTGTGTAGACCAGGCTGGCCTGCTTCTGCCTCCTGCGTGCTGGTCTTTATATCACCTTTTGATTGTAGCACCATGTTTGGTAGTATATTTGTGTATTTACTTTTTGCTTAATGCCTATTTACAAAATTCAGTATAATTTCAAGAGAGGAGTCCATTTTGTTTTCAGTTAGACATTAGTGCCCAATTTAGTCCCCGTTCATTGAAGATAATAAGTATTTGTTGACCAGATGAAATCTCAAAAGGCGTAGGAAGTTGGAGTGAGGAAGAAAAAGAAATGTGCTGGTCTGAGGATCCTGTTGAAGAATTTTGCTTCCATCAGAAGCGTAAGGAAGCTACTGGTGGCATCTTTCACATGGAAATATATTCATCTCCAGGGTGCTGGGCAAATGCTCTACCACTATGCTACACCCCCAGATCCATTATAGTTGTACCTATCTATTTATTAAAATCATGTATATGTGTGGATATGTGCATGTGAGTGAAGGTGCCCTCAGAGGCCAGAAGAAGGTGTTGGATCCCCTGGAGCTGGAGTTACTGGTGGTTCTGAGCCACTCAATATGGGTTCTGGGAACTGAATTTGAATTCTCTCCAAAAGAAGTATGTTCTCTTAATCTCTGAGCCATCCTTCCAGCCCCATTGTTGTTTTAAGTATACAGTGACAGATTTTATTGCAAGAAGACTGCAAACACAAAGTATTGGTGCTAAGTGTTGGTGAAGATGTAGAACAACTAAAACTCCCATGTTCCTGGTGCTAGAATTCTCATCCATTACGGTAATGCTATGTATTGGTTCAGACACTAGAAAACTACTTAGCATTATCTACAGAAGCTAAACATATATCATTAACCTATCATTTCCACTCCTCAGTATCTACCCAAAGGAAAGAAATGTATGTTTACCAAAAAGATTTGTGCATGAATGTTCATAGCAGCTTTACATATAAGAGCCTAAAATAGGAAGCAAACCAAATGCTCATCAAAAACAGAATGGAGAATTGATTGTGGTGGTACACTTGTAATCTCAGCACTCAAGGGACAGATGGAGCAAGATCTTGAGTCCAAGCCAGCCTGGGCTAGAGAGAGACTCAGTCTTAAACAAGAAAAACAACCCCAGAATGGATAATTTGTGGTATCATTATGTAGTGAAATACTACATATTATTAAAAAAAAAACCATTGAAGTCAGGCATGATGGAACACTTTTGTAATCCCTGGACTTGGGAGGTGGAGGTGGAAGGATCAAAGGTTCAAAATCAACCTCAGTTACATATCTAGTTTGAGGCCAGCCTGGACTACATAAGACTGCCTCAAACAAAAACAAATGAAGCTGCAAAGCTACTGTGTGGTGACAGAAATCACTTTGGGAATGTTTTGACTATCAAGGAACATCAGGGAATTTTCTCAGGTGTTGGAAAGACACTGTGTCTTGTGTTGAATAGTGATTATATGTATGTATATGTAAAAATCTGTTAAAGTGTACACTTAAGATTTGTGTACTTTTCAAAAGAAATAATTGTCACCGCCATGGTGGCCTACACCTGTAAGTCCCAGCACTTGGGAGGCAGATGCAGGCAAATCTCTGTGAGTTCAAGGTCAGCCTGGTCTACATATTGAGTTCCAGGACAGCTAGGGCTACAGGGAGATCCTGTATCAAAAAACAGAAAAAAAAATCAAGGAAATAATTGTCTAAAGCAGTAGATGTGCTAATTACTCTGATATGATCGTCATATGTTGTACATATGTATTAAAATATTTCGCTGTTCTCCATAAGGAGTACAATTACTGTGTGTGAGTCAAAAAGAAAAGCACACTGGGGCTGGGGATATAGCTCAGTAGTAGAATCTCTGCCTTGAATGTATAACCCTTAGGGTCAGTCCCCAGCACTGTAAAATAAATAAGTAAATAAATGCGCGCGCACCCCCCCCACACACACACACTAAAGAAATTGTGTAAGGCCCTATGTTTACTCCCTAGTACCATGGCGTACATACATAAACCAACAAAGATTTATTGTACCTTATTGTACTTTATTGTATGTTACACGGCAATAAAAATGGAACAAAAAAGTAACATAAGTTCTTCAAACCTTTTTTTGGTCTTTTTGAGATAGGGTCTCCCTATAGCCATAGCTAGGCCTACTATGTACAGTAGGCCTCAGTCTCACAGAGATCTGCATGCCTCTGCCTCCCACGTGCTAGGATTTAAGGTATGCATCACCATGTCTGGCTTCTCCAAATGTTTTTTTTAAAGATTTTATTTATTTTAATTTTATGTGTATGAGTGTTTTTTACCTGCATGTATGTAGGTCTACTACATGCATGCCTGATGCCCTCACAGGCCAGAAAAGGGCAACAGACCTCCAAAACTGGAGTTATGGATGTATGTTAGCCACCATGTAGGTTCTGGGAGCTGAAGCCAGGTCCTCTGCCAGAGCAGCCAGGGCTCTTAATCACTGAGCATCTCTCTAGCCCTTGTTCTTCAAACATTTAAGCAATGAAGCCGTGTATATAATGTCAAAAGCTTCCTTTTCCCAAAGAAAGCTGATTCCCATTTAGTGTATGTCTCCCTGATCTTCTCTGGTCACATCCATGTCTTTCTTCAAACTGTCTCTGATATCATGTCACCCAGGGCCTTTTGTCTATGTGTGGCACTGCTCTGGATAGCTTCAGTTGTCAACCTGACACTCCTGGGAAGAGGGAACCTCAACTGGGGAATTTCATCTGTTGGACTGGCTTGTGGGCATGTCTGTGAGGCATTTTCTAGATTATTGAATGATGTGGGAGGGCCCAGTCCAATGTGGGTGCTGCCACCCTTGGGCAGGTGGTTCTGGGATGTGTAAGAAAGCAGGCTGAGCACAGGATACAGGAGCAAGTCAGTAAGCAGCATTCCTCTGTGGTCTGTGCTCCAGTTCCTGCCTCCAGGTTCCTGCCTGAGTTCTTGTCTGACTTCCCCCAAAGATGGACTGTGCCTTAGAAATGTATGTAAGATGAAATAAACCCTTTCCTCCCCAAGCTGGTTTTGGTTAGGCTTTTATCATAGCAATAGAGAAGCAAACTAATACAAGTACATAGAATTAGGAGTTTTTGCCTTCCTGTAAGTTCAGGGGCAATCACTGTCCCCTTTCTTCACCTAAGGAGTGGAAGGAAACACAAAGATGAGCAAATTACAACCAAGATACTCAAAGAATTTACAGCCACAGGGAGGAACCCGACTCTAGAACAAGCATCAAGCCTAAGAAGTGTGATAGGGTGTCATGTCACGTAGGGCTTAGAGGACCGTCAAAAGGGTACTGATACCTTATGGCTATATAGAGCTTACAGTCTCCAGAGTTTTTCACATATTGGCTATAATAACTTAATGCTGTGAAACAGTGATTGTAATTAATTACCCCTCCCTTTTTGTGAGACAGGGTCTCCCTGTAGTCCCCACTGGCCTGAAATTCACTATGTAGACCAGGCTGGCCTTGAACTCACAAAGATTCACCTGCCTCTGTCTCCCAAGTGCTAGGATTAAAGGCATATGTCCCCACACCCTACTCTAATTATCCTTTTTAAAAAAAAGATTTATTTTTATTTATGTGTGTATGTATGCCAAATGCACTGTGGTGACCTTGGAGGTTAGAAGGTGTCGGATCCCATGGAGCTGGAGTTACAGGTGGTTTTGACCCACCCAACATGAGTGCTGGCACTCTTAACTGCTAAGCCATTTCTCCAGCATTTTTTTTTTTTACTCTTTTGCCCCCATTAGCCTGGGAACTCACTAAATAACTATGTAATCCAAGCTGGCCTTAAACTCCTAGCAATCCACCTGCCTCAACCTCTTGAGAACTGGAATTATAGGCATGAATTACCATGCCCAGTTTTATGTGGAACTGGGGATTTAAGCCAGCTTCGTTCATTCTGGGCAGCTCTTTTTTTCTTTCTTTTTTTTTTTGAGATGGGGGGGTCTCTGTTCCAGGCTGGTCCCAAATTTATAGGTTCACTCCATTTTCAGCCTCTAGTCGTTGGTACTACAGGTAGGGTAGTGCCAGGTTCTACCCGCCTTTTATAAGAGCGCAGGACCACTAGTGGAACATCTGGGAGGAAAACACAAAACCAAGTTTTTTTACTTTTGACCCATTGGTTACCACCAGCAGTGCCTCCTCACCGGCCCCAAGGATAA